ATCACCCTAGAGACCGGCTGGATGGCGAAACAGAGCTACCATTGGACCAATTCAGAGGAGGAGTATGTTCCTACTGCGGAGTCTGGCGACAATGAGTCGTTTTCCGCCTGAGCTACCACCTGTGTTGTAGGTGACCTCTCTGCCTTTTTGGTGTCTCGATGCCAAAGGGGGAGAGAGTTTAGGATTTGCGTGTGTGTCGTGTGTTTCGTCGTTTGCTTTGCTTTCTGTTATTGAACCTGCTTGCTTCGGTTTGGTTGTGCTCGTGAGACTTAGTCTATCATATGGTGTAAGACATATGCACTCTCTAGTTATCTCCTTATTGAGCTTGTGCTATATCATGCTATTCATGTTATGCTCATATCATCTATCTTGTTTAGTGTCAGCCTTACCATTGCAAGATATGCTCTGTTTCTAAAATATAGGGGGAGTGGTGATCCTAGTATTCGTGTCGTGCAGTCCAAAGCCCTTTACCCTCTAGCACGAATCTAGGGGGAGCTCATCTATATTTTAGAAGTTGTGAGGTTTGCCTGTGCTATATTCATTTCATTTGTGCAAATCCCGTATTGTCATCAATCCACCAAAAAGGGGGAGATTGTAAGGGCATTCTTGTCCCTCTATAGTTTTGGTGATTGATGACAATGCCTTTGCGGACTAATTGTGTGTATTGAGCTTTTCAGATATATCACGACTAAACACAAGATGATTTGATGCCCCTCGGAGATTATAGTTGACGGCCTTTCTCTACGGTTTGGTTCGGTGGAGTTGAGTCGTAGGAAAGCCGTACTATTAAGAGGGGGTCCGCTTTAGAAAGGTTTGGGTGGAATCTCACGTACACATTCCCTCTTGCACCGCCTTTCCTCGAGCTCCTCGGAGTGTTCCTCCGTCTCACCTTGTCTCTGCGAAATGAAGGCCTCAGTCTTGCTCTTCTCAGGCTAGCGGTAGTACTGCTCTTTTGAGCGGTACTACCGCAGGAGCCCGCGGTAGTACCGGGCTCCGGCACGGTAGTACCTTAGGCTCCCACGGTAGTACCGCTCTTCCAAGCGGTAGTACCGTGAGCTCTGGTCTGGCACCGCTCTCAAACGGTGGTAGGCGCGGATGTAACTTTTTACATCCGCGCTCCCCACGATAGTACCATGCTGCGGCGCGATAGTACCATGGCACCAGGCCAGGTTCCGTAGCAGGAGCGGAGGTAGGGGCGGATGTAATTTTTTACATCCGCACCCTTCACGGTGGTACCGCACCCTCGGTCGCGGTAGTTCCGTGTCGGATTTTTGCACGACATTTTCTCAGCGGAGGTAGTCACGGATGTAATTTTTTAAATATGTGCCTACCGGGCCTGGCCCGTGTCTGCCTTGCGGAAGTACTGCAAGAGGCCGCGGTAGTACCGCTCCTGCGGATCTACCGCGCCCTGTCGGTGCTCCTTTTGCCTGGTCTGGTCTCTGTCGTGCTCGCGGTAGTACCGCGGTCCACCACGGTAGTACCGCATGCCAGTGCGGTAGTACCGCGCCTGTGGAGTGGTAGTTCCGTGGGGCGCGGGCTGAGTGGTGGGTAACGGTTGGAATTGTCCCCCCACTATAAAAGGGAGTCTTCTTCTTCAAGAAGACCCACCTCTTTCAACCCTAAACTCCATTGTTGCTCCAAGCTTCATTTTCGGCCGATCTCTCTCCCTAGCCAATCAAACTTGTTGATTTGCTCGGGATTGGGTGACAAGGCCCCGATCTACACTTCCACCAAGAGATATTCGATTCCCCCCACTAATCCCTAGCGGATCTTGTTACTCTTGGGTGCTTGAGCACCCTAGACAATTGAGGTCACCTCGGAGCCATAGTCCATTGTGGTGAAGCTTCATGGTGTCGTTGGGAGCCTCCAATTAAGTTGTGGAGATTGCCCCAACCTTGTTTGTAAAGGTTCGGTTGCCGCCTTCAAGGGCACCAATAGTGGAATCACGGCATCTCACATTGTGTGAGGGCGTGAGGAGATTACGGTGTCCCTAGTGGCTTCTTGGGGAGCATTGTGCCTTCACACCGCTCTAACGGAGACGTACTTCCCCTTAAAAGGAAGGAACTTCGGTAACACATCCTCGTCTCCGTCGGCTCCACTCTTGGTTATTTCGTGCCTTTACTTTTGCAAGCTTATTTGTATTGTTTCCTTTGCTTGCTTATGTGTTAGTGGTCATTGCATCATATAGGTTGCTCACATAGTTGCATATCTAGACAACCTATTTGTTGCAAAGTTTAAATTGGTAAAGAAAAGCTTAAAATTGTTAGTTGTCTATTCACCCCCCCCCCCTCTTTAGTCAACCATATCGATCATTTCAATTGGTATCAGAGCATCGTCTCTTCATTAAGGACTTTGCCGTCCGAAGAGTATGGTTGACACCACAGACGGTGCGGAGGAGCACTCTAGTGTGAATCCTATCTCGTCTACGGCCGATGGGGGAACCTCGGTCTCCCGTGAGGAATTCAATGTGGCTTTAGACACATTGAAAAACTACATGATGACCGAGGTTGAAAGCATGTTTACTAAATTTCTAGAAGGACTTAAACTGTCCACCTCGCCGATGAAAGTGGGTGATCCCACTAACAAGGTGATGGATGCAACCTCCGACAAGGGGGAAGCTAACAGTGAAAAGGGTCCTTCTACGAGTGGTAGAAATGGCTCCGGCATCTTTGCCCACGTGGAACCTCCAACTTATGGTGGACCGATTCCCTCTACTCATTTAAATCATGCCGGTCCTCCTCCTAAGATTGTGAAAAATGAGGATTTTGATTCTCGGGTTTATCGTTTCAAGCGCCATTTAAAACATGTGAATACTAATATTTGGAGAATCATTGAAGAAGGTTTCTATCCGCATTACCCAAGCAACTTCACCCCTCGAGAAGCCGTGGATAATCAATTCAATGAGAGTGCTATCTTCATCATCCAAGATGCAATCCTTCCCGAAGATCTCCCTCACCTTCGACATCAATCCTTCCCGAGGAGACGGGCGTGTGGGCGAGATGGCAAATGCCCACACACCAGCCCTTGTGTATTAGTGAAAGTGGCGTGTGGACGAACTGCTGAAGCCCACACACCGGCCCCTCCGCGTGCTGAAACGGCCGTGTGAGCGACCGGGTAAATGCCCACACATCAGCCCAGTCCTACGTGGCACTAGAAACATACCAAGATTCGTGCGCTCACAAATGGACGCGGATCCACGCGTGCGGGCGAGATGCAAACGCCCACACGTGTGAGCGTTAGTGTTTTTGTAAATTTGAGAAGAGGACCCAAGCATTAAATCTTGACGAGATCCCATCATTTGAGAAAACACCCTGCACAATGTACGGAAGTGGCATCGTTGGATAACTCGATCACCGTCCAAGTAGCACCCTAACGAGTACGGGTGTGAGGGAGAAGAGAGTTGTGGGGATCAATTCTTTCTTTTTCTTTTTATAACTACTTACTACTCCTAATATGGATCGGAGAAAACGATTGACTTTTAAAATGAAGGGTGTGCACACTAAGAAAATTGACGATGGGTCTTGAAAAACAGCTAATTTTACATGGTAAAAATTATGGCACATGCTACAAATAAACCGGATGATTTCTCTAGGAAATCATCCGCCTAGCCAGCCGTCTCGGATTAGCGTGCTGGTGGCCGTTCGATGCAGCAAAGCCACAGCAGGAGACCAGCTTCAACGTAGCGCTGCTGGCACCTGTCAAAGCTTCACTGTAGCACAGCACGGCCCGGCAATAACTCCAATGCAGCCCCGACAAGCTGACAACGTCCGGCGAAGCTCCATTGCAGCCCCGACGGAGCTCCAACGAAGCACTGACGTCGTTCGGCGAAGCTCCATTGCAGCCCGGACGGAGCTCCAACGTAGCACCGATGTAGTCCGGCGAAGCTCCATTGCAACTCCGGCAGAGCTCCAACGTAGCATCGACGGCGTCCGGCGAACTCCATTGCAGCTCCAACGAAGTTCCATTGCAACTCCGGCGAAGTTCCATTGTAGCGCCGGCTCTGCTTCCGTCGGAGTTGAAAGAGTTGCCTCGACGCACGCTCCAACGAGCCGCATGACTACCCTGATAGTACCAGTTGTGTTGTGCAATAAGCAGCAGCAGCAGCAGATGTGCTCACCGCAGCCTCCTCCACTGGTAGCACCGGTGGCGTTGCAACGCAGCACCGCCGTGTGACGACGGCCGGAGTTGAGGGAGATGACACGTCGCAGCAATGGTGGTGCTGCAAAAAAACATGGATTTAAGCGTGGAGTGGCAATGGCGAGCAGGAACCTTACAGCGGTGCTGGCCGGAGTCGCCCTCCCCCTGACCTTGCTGTCACCTTGCCGTTTGTTTGTGTTACTGGTTGAGATTCTGGCCTGCTTGCGTTAATGGCAGCTACTGGCCATGGCGTGAACGCAGCAGCAGGGTGGCTGCTCTGGCGGTAAGTTTGCGTTCCCAACTGTGCTGGTTGGTGGTGCTCGCCATGGGGTCAATGGCCTCTTCTCTGCTGTAACTAATGAGGACGATAGGGGGAAAAAGGAGAGAACGTGTGGAGAAGAGAGCTTGCGAGAAGATAAGGCTGGGATGGAGCGGTGGGTGAGGACACGTGGTGTGCAGAGGACACGGTTTATGAAAGGAAGAAATCATCCAGATGAATCCAAACGTTTTCCAAAAATTATTTCTAAAAGTTACGCGGCCCGATCAGAGGGAGCATAAAATTGCACGATACTAATCCATGCAAACAATCTATAACTTCCATCAAGAAATAAACTTTCCCCCTGAAAATAAATCAGAGAATTAAAATAAGGCCTCGAGATGCCACTACTCGAAATAAATCCCTTTAATTCGAGATCAACAAACACACCTAAGAGTCAGAGACTAATGATCTTAAAAAGAAATTAAGTCTAATCTTGATAGTACACATTAATATTACGATCCAGCATACAACTCCTCTCGCTGAACTTCGCCAAAACAAAGATAAGGAGAAAAAAGCCACAAAGCAGCTCCCCGCTTCCGTCCGCTCATGAATCGTAGTTGTAGAGATAATCGATCTCGTCCTCGTCGAGGTACGTCTTGCTGATCTTGCCGTGCTTGAAGTTGCGGCCCGGGCCCCCCTTGGACGACGCCTTCCCGGCCCCCGAACGCGCCGGCGCCGGCTGAGCCTGCGCCTGCCTCTGCGCGACGGCCCCGTACCTGGACGGCGGCGGCGACGACGGCCACCATCCCGGCGAGTACCCGTACCGCGCGGCCGGCTGCGGCGGAGGCGCCTCCTCCTCCTCGTCGAGCGCGCGGAGGGCCTTCCTGCAGAGCGCGTCGAGCGCGCGGCTGCCGCCCGGCTTGGAGTGGTTGGTCGGCCTCCGCGACGCCCGGACGTACCCGCCGTTGGCCACCACCACGGCCTGCCCGTCGGCGTCCACGACGTGCGCCGCGCGGCGCTTGCCATCCGGGTCGACCAGATCGCGGTCGTACACGCGCACCCACCCTCGCTGCCTCCCCTCGCGCCGCATCTTGGCTCGTTTCCTTGGTCTGCTTCTGCGGTTCTGCGCGCCGAGCCGGAGCCGCCGGTGGCAGATTTATACGGCACGGGCGGGTCGGTCTCCCCTTCCTTGGCGGCCACGGGTTCGTGTTGGTCGTCGGTTCGTGTCGTGGTCGGCAACTTGGGATCCAAGTTTCCGATGGGCCGAGTACAGTTCGCTATTTGTTCTGGCCTTTTTTTTTCGGAGACTATTGTTGTGGCCTAACCTCAAAGTACACAGAACACACACGAGTGCGCCTATTCTTGTGGCCTTAACCCATTTTTTTACATTTTTTTAGCATCCTTCAAAGTTTCTACATACTGGTCGGACATACTGACGGGCCATTAATAAATATTTCTTGTAAACTAATATAAGACGGCTATATAAGTTTACCGAGGGAGGGAGGTACTATATAATTTTATTTTCTATAAAAATAAATAATATGTAGGTTGGGTACAAGTTTTAAAAATATTTTTAGAAATAAATTCATAAGTAATTTTTTATATTAAAAATAGACGTTCATGATTTCGGAGATAAATGTTGACATGCTTAAAAAGGAAGTATTTATGTATGTCGGAAGAAATATTTATTTTTTCCAAGACAAAAGGTTCACTTGTATATAAAAATGAACGTCCATAACTTCAACAACAAATATTCACATACTTAAAAATATTCATATACTTATGAAAGAGATTCATCCTTTTTCTAGAAATAAAATAAATAAGAAAGAAAAAAGTTTAAAAATGAAAGGAAAAGGGAAAAAGACGAGATTATTTGAAAAGTATAAACAACACAAAAAACAAACAGAAATAATAAAAATGAGAAACTCGAACCATGGGCCATGCATGTGCCAAACCCATATAC